TGTACACGTGTATTAAAATATTACTTATATTTCATGTTTTCTTTAGTCTGTGTTATGTGCATGTGCAACACCACAACTATGTATTTAATGTGTGTCGTGCAGAATTTAATGTTATATTTCTGTGGGGCACCCTATCACTGGGATAAATATAGTTTTATATTGTCAAACTCACCCTTCCAACTATTGTATATTTTCACACGCTTTCCTGTGTGGGTTTGTCATAATATTTTTGTAACATTTCACATCGGTCTTAAGTTAATGCACGTGTCACATCTGCAGCACAATATGTGAAATCCCTGACAGAGTGCATTATGTAACGTGCAGTGTTTTCATTACGAATGCGAGTTTAAGGCGTGTTAGGTTCCACTGCATCTCGACACATTGTGCACGGACGAGCAACGCGCAACGCGTGTGTCGTAACTCCACGGCAGGATGGGGATTGCGACCTGGCAAGGGAGAGGCAAAGCGAGCGTTGTGTGTGTTGGTGTGTTCTCACGAGCGTTGTGTGTGTTGGTGTGTTCTCACCGTGTTCTGCATGGGTTTCGTCTGGGTTTAACCGGTTTCCTCCCATGGCTAAGAGATACATTGCAACCAATGTCGGCCAAACATAAAAATTCTGAAAAATTACCTGAAATTTAACTAATTTGGGATTACGCAGAGGAATATTGCCCTCTACAGTGAAAACTTTGCAGGACCCTGAGACTCGGTGAGGCTTTCTTGGTTAAACAAGTGTGATAATGTTAATAGTAGCATCGGAGGGGATGAAAACACAGGACAGAGAGAAACGGTCATAGGCATGGCAGAAAAGGAAGTTTGTGTACCCTGACTGGAGCAGGGGAGAAGGAGCTGGCAGCGTGGTTGATGGGGGGAAAGAGTTATTTTCAGCAGAGAGAGGAGGAGTAGTCGACTGGGGGTATTGGTGTTGCCATGAACCTATTGGAGTCGAGGGCACGTGTGGTGGGGAGTGGAGAGCTGCGTGTGCAGCCCAGAAAGGATCATTAAAGACAGTGATTTTGTAGGTGATCCGTGATTGGGATTTGGTTGTTGGAGTAATGTGGTCACATTTATGTGTGCGAGTGTGACATCTGCCAGCATTTTCCCGGGTGCCCTGATGTTTAGACTCGTGAGTAAGGAGGGCAGAGAGGAGAAAGTGATATTTTACGTCTACACCTGAGTCGTAACACGTTTATGAATAACGACTGTGGTGCCATGGTCACACGAGGCGGTTCCTTCCAAGCCTTTGGGCTGTGAGGTGTTGAGGAGATTGCAGTCCATTCTCGAGGTTTGTGGACCCATTTGTGTGGACGGTTTGCCTGTAAAAAAATTTCAGGCTGCTCCAGATTTTCCGCTTATTAAAAAGGAATGAACCGCACATTCCAATGCAGATCACTTCTGAAAAAGTCTTGAGACTCGGTGAGACCTTCCTGGAAAAAATACAATCATAATGTATAGACCTAATTTTCTTTGCTGTGTCTGCAACCAGCGACTTAAACACATTTACACAAAGGGCTGGGGGCCTATTAGCTCGAAGAGGAGGTGAGCGAGCAGAGGTTTGTCAGCTACATTTTCCAGTGGGCCAAGTAATAAAATTAGCATGGGCTTGCAGGTCACGCGATGCCGTGTGTCATGTGTACATTTGATATAATGTCACACGTGGTTGTGACATATCACCTTTCCATAATTCCACTAATCTGTATCTCTCGTCTACGGCGCTCTCATCTCGGCCTTGTTCATCACACCATTCTGCGTTTCTTTGTCTCGGCAAGCCAAATAAGAACCCCGTGCAGGGGGAGAAACGCGGTTGGGAGCAGAGAAAGATGGTTCATTGTAATCTTCGTGTAGATTTTTGTTACAGGTCTCTTGCACAAAATACTTGCTACGTTACATTGTGCGGTGCTGCGTGTAGACACTTTTGGGTGTCATGCACCCACACACCGGATGCACGTAATGTGTGGCGGCGGGCGCAGTAGAGAATCAGCATGCAAAGTGTGTATGTGGAATGCTCTGTACCTCGCAGAGCGTACACCAGCAGTGCTTGTACAATATGTGCGTGTGTGTCGGACAAATATGAATTTGCAGCCCTTTGTCAGTCCATCACTGGAAGAAAGCCTCCCCACGCCGTGTCAGTGAAGGCGGGTAGATTGACACTACTTCACCAAATTGGTCAGTAGTGCGTGTCGGTGAAGGTCGGGGTGGCTGAAGGCACAGGCCGCTCAAACGCCACTTTCCGCTAATGTTAGCCGTGACCAGAAATCGGAACTCGCGTCGCCGACTGCATCATACAGTGTGATACCCACTGCTGCGTGGCTCCCCACCCTCCCCCGCACCGTCTCGCGCGCTATATATGGACACCGTATATCACAGTCTGTGTAACGCGGCGTGTTGAACGAGTACATAGTCGAGTCTGTTCCCTTTGCTCGCACGCGTGGGCATTGCACAACCCTGTTGGCTGCTGTGAAAATTGCACGGGACTACCACTGTTGACTACTCCACAGAGCGGTACTCACTTTGTATACCCTGCAGGGATGATGGGCTCAAACAAACCCCAAACCAATAAGTGAACGCTCAACCTTCTCATTGTTAGTCGAGTGCTCTTAAATTAAGCAAAGAAGAAACGTACTCGATATATTTGCATAACAAAATGCAAAGACTATTAACTGTGGCTTCCCCGTAGTCAAATGAGCCCCAATTTAAAAAATATTAACAGAAGTGGTTTCGTCATTGGGGAAGGGTAAAAAGATTATTTGGCTTGAGGGCCTCCAGCTAGCTCATTGTTTGGCTGCTGGATGCCGCTGTTGAGCGTTGGTTTTACTTTTTACGCGCACTGTAAGCACAGCTGGTGCGGTGTGCGCTGCCACTGACCCTCGTCTCGTGCTGTCGCGCCCGTTCCTCTTTAAACAGCAGTTTGATGCTGCATTAGCGCAGCAGTGTTGGGTCTTGCAGAAAAACAAACGGGAGTGGACAAACACGCTGCACCATGTCACTCGGCCAGGGCCCTTGGCCCGTTTCAATCCCTGTGCCTTTAATTTAACCAGACGTCAGCGCTCTACGATCGTTGCCTCTTGTGAGGAAAGACCTGGCGAGTTGTAACGTGGTAAAAGCACTTGGCAGTAATTAACGCGACGTTATTTCTGGGTATGTTTCGAAGGAGGCGCTCTTTGTGTTTTGTTAGTACACGATGTCGTGCTCTTGCTCACGATGCCCACAGGGTGTTTATTGTTAACTTTATTCAGCACACTGTGGGTTTGGGTATTTGCGGACATCAATCACCGGACTCCTGTACTGAGAACTGCTCCATCAATTTCTGTACCGACTCGCTCAAAATGCCGAGTGCGCCGACCGCTGGACAATTCAACTGTGGCGGAAATAACGAGATGTTAATTGACGAGTCTCAGAATCGTGTTCATATTAGGGGGGGCGATCACTGGAGTAACGGAGGGGTCTCAGCCGGCCTTGCCACTCACTAATTCTAATCCGAGGGGGGGGGGGGGGTCATGTGGCCACCATAGCACTGTGCTACCTCACAGTGCTGGGGAATGCTCCCCGAGCCGCTACGTGGTCACACACGTGGCTGGCCCAGATCTTGCGATTGGTTGCAGGCCAACTTCGCATTAATATCAGGTGAGCGGGTCTTGTATGCTCTCGGTTTGGCCAGGTGTAGCACAGTGCAAATTCTGCAAAAGCAACAGAGCCTATATGCTACCCCAGCCTGGTGCCTTGCCCAAGTTGTATTTTTTAGGGCAAGCACCATCCCACATAAAACATGAGTTATCAATTATTTATGAATGGTTGTCTATCTCGATGGAGCTGTTCTGTCCTTTTAAATGGCTTTAGATCATTTCTTATTTTGTGAGAGCTTGAAAATGTCTGCGTCAGTTCTCTCTCTCAGTCAAATTCCTTTGATAATGATTTGTCTCTTTTAGAATCTTATTGATTGTATGTGGCTTGATGGTAGAGAAACCTTTCCTAAACCCGAGTGGAAAAAAAAATGCATCCGTTCCTGAATTAATGTAACAACGTTTTTATTTTTAGAGTCTTAGTTGGGGTTCTTTTTAATTATTGTTCTTTAGCCAGTTGTGCATATTCCATGTTTCTGTGATAATTACTGACATCCAACCAAGTGGTATCTATAGGCATTGTTAGTTTCACCGACTCCCAGCGGCGATGATAATGGCTGGGCTTGCTTGACCCTGAACAAGATTTGACTTTGCGACCTTTACAGCCGGGAGCCGCCTCCTCATCTACTCAATGAGTTTTTCAGGCTGAAAGTCATTTCCACGTGCACATAGCATTGTCGTGAGATCATGTCTGAGACTGGGTTGTAGTGTGGTGATGACCACCCCCTGTGGCTGTGGATTGTTTTATTTGAGGTCCACGGTTCAGATTCCTGGCAAGTTTGTCACAGAATTGCTGTAGCACAATGGTGATTACAGCCAGCTGGTCTTAGGATCGAGAACATCTGGCATCTGGCGAATGGAATTGCCATGGCATTTTATGGCACGGTCATCGGCCACACATTCAATGGCAATTCCACTAGGCCTGCCCGGTCTCATGGGCCCTCCCTTCTTGCCTGAAAGTCATGCTGGGCTCCGCAATCCCTCCTCCCCCCCCCATATCCCCCATGATTATACGGAATCATTGATTTAAAATTTTTATTTAAGATTTCATGATAGTAATCGTGAGAATTGCCCAACCCGTGCGAGCTGGTTCTGAGATCTTTCCAGATGGTAATGGTATAGTGATGGTACTGAAGGTTTTTGACGTTCATGGGGATGTTCGGTGAACCTGTAAGTTATGATGTATGTACGTTGAACTTCTTTCACACCATACGTAGCCAACCGTGCTAGTCGGAGGTGTGGGGAGTGGACAAAAAAATGAAGACTTAAAGCAGGCGAAGGTTTGGTTGGCGGTGTTGCTTATTGTGGAGGTTGAGGCTTTGATGACCGTCTGGGTGATGGTGCGGTGAAGTTAATTGTGATGTGTTTGGGGCTGTCCTTCAGGACATGGAAAAACTCCCAAGGATGCGGCGTCCGTTCGCGCCACACACCCGATCCCGGCCGCGTGTGGGATTTACTACTTCGAGGTGAAGATCATCAGCAAGGGACGAGACGGGTGAGTTGGATGCTTCCACTCGACGATGCACGTTGCATCCAGGCCATCCTTCAGTCGCCAAGCCTGTTTTAAAAATTATTAAAATTCAGGAAGTTGTCACGGCCGAAGCCGATTGACCCAACTACGCCAGCCGGGTCGCATTCTGCCATTTGCTGCATTCTACAATTTTTTGCTCAGTCATCACCACCTCAGCATCCATGATGTGCTCTTACGGCAGTGTTTCTCAACGTTGTTGGTGTGGCGGCTTCTCCAATCAACACCGCTGGTTCCAGTGGCCTCCATCCTCTTGCCCACAGGCCCTCCGCCCCCCACCCTCCCCGCCCAGTTACGGAGGCCACAGCACACGGAGAGAGCACACGTCCATTCATGTTCCATGTGCCGGTGTGTGTTTGTTGTTACCGCAAAATGGCACTGATGTTCCCTATGCACGTTGCGCTGACGTTCCAAACTTCTCCTGCACGGTATCCATGCCGCAGGCTGATAACTGCTGTCTGAGCGTTTCTCCACCATTTGCTCTTCGCTCTTCCCTTTTGGTTGCTGACCTATGGGAGCCGCTCCCCAGTGCCTCCCGGTAACCCCGTCCCCCCCCTCCACCGCCCTGAGCATGGCCCCACCCATCGCAACCTTCCAGATTACATCGGAGATGTTATTTCTTTGTGTTCCATTCCAAACTTCAAAGTTGCTTCCCCCTGTGCTGTCATGAGCACTCCCGCAGACTTTGAATGCACCTTTTATCAATGGCCAGGGGCTTATTTTCCAGTTTCTTTTCTCTCCCACCCATGCAATTAAACACACACTATTCCTGTCTCCAACACCCATCACCCTATGCTAATGTTGAATTACTCTACTTACTATTCCATTGTGGTTGAAATAATGCATCAAGCCTACTCTCAAAACTCAATGCATCATCGGTTGCCCTCTTTCACACAACCCCCTGTATTATTCACGTTTGAATACCTGATTGCACAAAGTGTAGTAGTAATAATCATCTATATCCCGCTGCAAACATCGCACTGGATGAAGACCTCACATTTCCTTCATTTCTGGGGTTTGTGTGAACATGCCTCACCATGCTGGTCAGTGCAGGTTGTGGTGTATTGACACCTGTGATTAAGAACATATTGTTTTTACATGAGGCCAATAACTAACCTTAAGAATGCTGCTGTGGTGTAATGGTTAACACACTGGACTCATCTCCCAGCTCGGTAATTCAAGCTACAAGGCACATTTTAAAAATCCCGCAGCCTCTATTCCACCCAGCAGCGTGAATGGCCACGCCACAACCGAGTCAATTGGCAGGTTACATGTTACGGGGTCAAGTGTGCACACTGCGGTGGCTAGGAGATGTTAACTCCCTCACCTGGTATACACGAGGTCGTGGGTTCGGTCCCGACCCTTGTGACGCCTGCTGCTGTATAGTTGGAGTGTGCATGCTCACTCTCCCCGTAGTCGCGTGGATTTTTCTCCGGGTCCTCCGGTTTTTTCCTCCATATTTAGAATGAACGTCACGCGTTTAAGAGTATTTGGCAATGTAAATTTCCACATGATAAGCCACTTATTTAAGCTATCATTTGTGGCCAGGTTGCTAATGAAAAAGAGCTACATAGCTCAGTGGACCTTAACGGGTCAAATAAAAAAAATAGTTAAAAGTCTGCTGTGAAGTGGATGTTACTGGCCTGTTATGAGTTTATGCCATTGTGTGCTGATTGATTGTCACTGTTAACAGCCGTGGTCTATCCACTGCTAAATGCAGCCTCCCCAACCTATAACCATTCCTCATCCTGCAATGCAACGCTCGAGCTCCTTGCACCCGAGCTGATTTAATCGCTCCATCTCCACTGTTGAGGGCCTCCTCGGACGTGCTTCGTCTTTTGTCTGTCACTGCCGTACGTGTCACCCACTGGCTTCGACTGATGTGTTCGGCCCAAGTCAATTTCGTTTTCTTCACAGATAATGTGATGTTCGCATCTCGCGATTGCACAGATATTCACGTTGCGTTTTAAAAAAGACTTCCGCTCCCAGTAGCCTGTTGGTTATTGACAAAGGTTACCCATCTTGGCTGACATACCAACGGCGTGGTTAAATTTAACGTGGCGGCCTCCAGTAGTGGCAGGGGTCACTTTGAATGCAATTGTGTACAAGATATACGAACGCGTTAATCAAAGGACAACCGATCGGTTTTGATGCACGGCGAGTGTCGTAATGGGTTTTTTCTGTGGAAAAGACGCGTTGTTACGCGCCCATCCTAAGCAGTAGCTGCTGCTGCTGCTGTTCCTGCGAGGAGGTGTGTGGTGCAGGCCCTGATATTCCTTGTCCCTGTCGTGGTTGCAGGTACATGGGGATCGGGCTCTCTGCCCAGGGAGTCAACATGAACCGCCTGCCTGGTGAGTGTGAGGAAATTATTGTTAATAACAGTATAGAACGGTAATCATGTGTAAGTTGATTTTCGCGCCATTCTCAGAACTACGGGGCTATCGGTGAAGGCGCTACGTTTCACAGACATAGCCCGGCAATAGGGGACGATGTCACGATGTGTAATCCCAATTGAGGTTTTGGGGGGGGCCTGGGGGGTTATTACTTGCCAGATGGGGGCACCCAGTGGTGGGGTGGTGGGAACATTGTTCAAGGATGGGTACTTTAACCAACTATATTACTTTAAAAGTTTGGCTGGCTGGGTCGAGGGAGGGACAGATGGATGGTCACATACAAAGGATGTGCATGGTGTTGCGAGTTTCATAAAAATCCTGGGTCGAGTCACTGGATTTGCCGGACAACAAGAAAGCTCTCTAGCCTGAGACTCTTAAAATTCTTAGTCATCTAGATTTGTATGGTTAGTGTGGTTCACATCTCGTGATCTCTGGGACTGTAAATTATTGACGTGCATTTGTAGATTTTTTTTTTTCTCAAGCTACGAGTTTGTTTAAGGACAACAATTGTTTAAAGCACCCGACAGGACATGAGTACTCTCTCATGCGTGACGCATACAAACATCAACACACGTACTTCTTGATCGTGACTTCATTCAAACCGCTTTTATAAAATGTAAAAAAAATCATTACGAGTCAAAGGGGTTCATTTATATTTGTTCTCATCCAAAGTCGCGCGTGTGGTTGTGTGACTGAGGCCGCAGTGTGTCAGCGCTTGTGCAGCGCCACCGACCTCCCGGCTGGAAGCCTCAGAGCTCCCATGATCATTTTTTTTTACGCTCCAAGTTGAACGATTTTAGCTTCGCATTTTTCACCTTGTTAAGCCCACTATAACTCCACGGCTTATTTGACAGATGGGAGACGGCGTTAAGCATTTGCACAGCTGAAGAGAGTGTAGTGGTTGTATAGATAGGCCCTTAAAGGATATAGAACAGAGGCCTATAATGTGATTTCCTGGTGTTTTCCACAGTGTGACAGCTCTCTACCTCTGTGGAGGATTAGGAATAGCGATGCTCTCTGGGTGTGCACTGATATGGATACGGCACAATAGGGATGCATATGGCAAGAACATACTTTCTATAGATCTCAAGTCGTCTTCCTGTTCTCTTGTATGGCTGATGTTGATGCAGAGCAACAACTACAATTTCACATTCAGGTTGTCAAGCCAGACAAACGTGTCAGGAGGAGCGGAGTTGTGTATCGCTGTGATGGCTCATTCCTATTTGTGGATCGGGCATTGAGTCTTTATACGTTGTACGGTCTGTGCTGGATGAGCACAGTCGCACACCACTACTGAGAGTTTTTAATTTTCCATTTGTGCATCAGGTATCATCCACATCTACTGCCATGGTTCGTGCAGTGAATGTGATTTAGGGTGGACCATGAGCTTCATGGAAGTTCAACAGGATCTTCTGCATTGGGTCTTGCGAACGCACTAAGGTTGTGCGTTCGCATGTGTGACTCGGACTGTTTTGTAAAGAGAGACGTTGGTAAAGTGTAAATACATGCTATTGAGAGGAGGAATACCAAAAAGTGGCATCATGTGCAACTGTCTTTATTGAGATGCTTGGCCACTTCCAGCAATGAGTGTCCAGAGAAACCTTAAATGTCTGATCTCCCTCCCCATCTGGACATCTGTGAAAAAGAGCTTCATAGCTCATCGGATTTCTACAGGATAAATGTTCTTATTTTGAACCTCATGCGTGCGGGAGGATATCATTAAAAGTTCTACACAGACAGGTTCACAATCCAGTTGCAGTACTGGCCACCATGAAGCCCAGTGGATTTGGGAGATTTGCGTGGTCCACCAAACCTTCCTCCAAAGCACGTTGGCCTTCAGGCTGTCTTGAGAGTTCTTCGTTTCAAGCAATAGCTGTACATAGCGACCTTACTTGGGTTGTTGCCTGATGATGCTGTGCCCTCCCTGGGTTGGCGACTGGGCCACAGTGCGTAGGTGGAAGAGAGTAAGCTCGGTACAATCAATACGTACAGTCAATACGTACAATCAATACGTACAGTCAATACGTTCGCCCATTTCCATTGGCGTATCTGAGCCGAGCCAGCAAGGGGCCCCTCGGAGTACAGGTGGTTTTCCACTGGCTGTTTGCCGTGCCGAGTGAGAACTGGACTGTGATACACTGTCCTAACAAGCAGTGCCAGGGGCAGGGATGACCCGTTCATTGTGTGTGGCGTCATTCGGTAGTATAATTCGAACGCAGCGTCACTTCGTCATCATTATGCATCTAGGACTCGTTCATTGCTTGTTACTTTGGTGGCATGGCACGCCTCAGTTTCTGCAGTGGAAAAATAAATCTCACACGGCCTTAAACGTGCCGGGCTTGGCTCGGCATGGAGTCGGCGTGGCTTGGCTGTGCAGTGGAAAAAGTTGTTGGATAGGTCCAATTAGATGTGTGCTTACGTTCACGCATCCATTTGGTAGTGACTTGACCCAGGATTGCTCAAACGGTATTGCGTGTGTTGCACTCGTATATCTTTAACGTACATCCCGTATGAATGAATTAATGCATCCTGTATGCTGTACGTTAGTGAGCATGTTCACAGACTCACAGTGAGTTGGCAGTTAGTGGACGTCACTTTCCAGGATGTTCGCATGGCCCCTAAAGCAGCTCTAGCTACGGTCTGTTTTGGAAAAGATAGTCGCTTATTGTGCAGTAGAGATGACACGGGCGACAAGACCGGTTGACATATAATTGTAAAGCCACTGGAATGTTAAGCCGCAATCCTTTAATGGCATGATGAGGTCATTTGTTTGTCCCCAAAATAGCCTCAGATGTGTTTATTGATGTACTTTTGATGGATTAATTGTGGACTCTACATGCACGAGGTCACTGTGAATGTTGTGACGTTTTCTTCAGTTGCAATAGCGCTTGTTAGGGCGAGGCACTTGGGGGGGAGTGCAAGGTGACGAGAGCGAGCGCTGCCCTGAAATAAAACCAAAGCGTATGCGTGTTGTCACCCACGTGGCTCCGGTGTTCAGTGCCGATATGGCCCTGTGTTTATTGGCCCTGGTAAAGTGCGCTACTCTCCTTTAACAGAGGCCGTGTAAACTCTGCCAGATAAGAGGACAATGGGTAAGCGGATTTTTTCCTGCGCCTACGAGGGCTGATGGACGAACCGATGCACGATGGTTCATGTCCAGAGCCATGAACATGACGACCTGAGTTTAATTCCCGACCACTGTTTGCGTCAGTGGCGAGCGAGCGGTGTCTGAACTGGTTTTGGTTTAGTCCCTCCTCTCCCCCCCCTTCGCCAACCCCCCACCCAGCGGCGTGACGCAGGGCTGTACATTCAAACTACCCCGTGGCACACGTGGGGCGTGGAGGCCTTCTTCAGTACTGGATTGACAAAGTGCCGTAACAAAAATGATTTTGAAATATTGCTCAAGCACAAGCTTGTAAATGTCACGCGACCACCAATTCTAAGGCCTTTCCAGCTCTGGCGAGCAGGCATGTGTTGTGTACACAAGAGCCTAATTGTGTGGTTGGAGTAATACGGGTTTTTCCTACGATGCAGCCAACTTTGGTAACTTGTGAGCCTGTGCTTCGTGGTGGCACCAAGACTGGGATGAGATGTGCTTGCATGTCGAAAGGTTTTATTGAAAGAATCGGAGGTTGACTTATTGTTGTTCTCATCAGGACAGTGGTTGGTCTGTCCACAGTTCATACATATTTTGGCAACTTAAAGCCTCTTTAAATATAAAATGTGATCAGACTTTATAGAATATAGACAACCGTAAATCGCTGTGTGATGTGAATTCTAACGATGCTTGGGAAAAGCGAGACTGCTGAAATTGGCAGAATTATACTAAAGTCTGTTTACACTGCAACTAGAAAAATGTAAACCTCTTTTTTTAATCATAAGTCATCTATCTACTGCTAGATGAAGGACATGCTTATGTTGTGGCCATCTATCATTACCCGGCAATGCCACAGTCCACCTCATCTACAGTATGATATGTTGCCTCTGGGGAGGTGTGCCATGGTGCAAGCCTGGGAGATGTAGTGGATGGGTGGCTATGCCTCTTTGCCTTTGGGGGAAAATGTGTTCCTAGTTAAGTATTGTTCGCCGTTGTCCTTATTAATAGTCAGAAATGTAGCCCTGGCAGGTAATACTGCCTGTGACGCGTACACAATGCAGCCACCCTGCGTTTTCGTGTATAATTGCGGAAAATTCTTGCTTTTTTAAAGCAATGCCGATCAAAACGATGAAATACAGAGAAAACTAGCAGGGTGGAAGGGCCTTTATGATAGAGAAAGATGATCTGCTCATGTATGTGAAGACTACAGTTTTCAATCGGTGCGTACGGCCAGTTGTGACATGGATCAGAAACATGGACGCCGAATAAGAAAAGGGAACAAAAGCTGCCAGGTGTGCAAAGGAGCGTAGAGAGATGCAAGCTCGGAACGGCACCGAGAGGCACGTGTGGCCCGATGGGCCCCCGCGGCGGAGACCGGAGTACGCGACAACTGGCGCGTGTGTGTGCGGGTCCTCTTCCCGTCATAGCCTCAATTCTTCACTCTGGTGCTTTTGCTGCATTGACACATGAACGTATTGGCGGTACACCGGTGGGCGGTATAAAAAGAAAAAGATATTTTTGTACAATAATTAATTATTTCCTGCAATTCGCAACCCGGGTCAGAAAATCTTGCGGAGTTGGTGGTGGTGGTGGGTCAAAGTGGGTTCTCGTGTTGTCGAAGCAGTCGGAAGACGAACGTTATGTGAGCAGCCAAACACGAGGCTCCGCAGGCTGTTGCCGTATCGCAGCACCCAGCCTCAGGACGATTGGCTTGCTCTGGGTTCCAAAGGGAGATTTGACTCTTCGTACCCTAGAGTTGTTGGGACGGTTACTCGATTCAACGGACCCAAATTAACGGTCAATGTTGACCGTTTTTAGCAAGTCTCAGTAAAATGAATAAACCTTCGAATCGCATAACACT